TCAGCTGTCTTCACCATTGGATGGGCTTGGGACCTCACTGTTGCTGAGGATGGCTGTGATACTTTTCAGGGGAGCTCTGGTTCTTACTTTGTGTACTGCTTCCTGGCTCCAGTGCAGATCCCTCAGCCTGCTAGCACAAATTCTTCATCCCCCTGGCACAGACTTCCTAGCTTCCACCACTTACCTTTGGGCCTTCTCAGCCCAGATCCGTGAACCAGGCCTGCATGAGATATTGTTTTGGGCTCTAGGCCTTCAGTTGGACTTTTGAGAGGCACTGTTATGAGCTCTAGGTCTTCAGCTGGATTCATGCAGGGCATTTCTGTGGGATCCAGGCCCTCGCTAGTTTCCTTGTCTTAGTGTGCGGACAATTTCCTGGGCTTTTTTGTATGTCATTCTTTGGGTGACTATTATAATTAATCTTATAAAATATGTATCCTAATTATATTGTTCCCCTTGCAAAATGTCCCCCAAACCATAACAACAGTTAAAAGGTGGAGGGTTACATCAACAATATGAATTAAATTCAGTTTGAGTTGCCAGATTATTTAATGTGATTCAAGAAAACTACCTCTGTTATGAATCATTTGTTGATAGGAAGAGACAGAATAAGGAGAAAGAACTCCAAATTATATGAAAACAAAAGCAAACTGCAAAGAAAATCTTGCTGTATTGTAATGCAATGTATTCAGAAAATGATAGTTGGTGTTGTTAGAGGATATGCATACATTTCCCTCTCTTAACGTGGTATTTGAGGAATAAACTCAGGAATGGAATTGTAAAAGAACTTTAGATGAGCCATGGACAGGTCTTCTTGCCCACCTTGAGAATTTCTTCTACTTCTTACTACCCACAAATCCCTCATATTCAGGATACACAAATTTACAGGATTATATTAAAATAACAAATAACTATATACTTCTCTGCTTTAGTTCCTGTACTTAAGCGTATTGTATTGCCAGAAAAAAAACAGCAAATCTTTCCTTTTGCCTCTTTCTGCTAAAATCACAGAATGGGTAATGAAGTTCAACTGTTGTCTTGTTCAGTGTAAAAATTTGGCATATTTTTACATCTATAATTGAAGCAATCACATTGGTTCTACTTGACCTTTCTGTCCTGCAGAGTGTCACACATTTCATTCTCTAGGGATTTTTCTCAGTTGATCTTGAATAAAATTTATGAAAACATTAAATCACTAATTGATCTGTCAATTTTTGAACTGGCTGTTGATCTGTTTTGTTCCTTAGAAAATAAATTTATGACTTAACTATTTATGTTGAATTTCAGAGTTTGGTATGTTCACTAAGAAAATTACTGTATTCCTCATAAATGTACATTGTAGAAAATATTTTCATCATTTTATTATTACACAATCTTAACTAAAAGGCTGAGAAGAATTTCATTGTATTTTCAAGAAAATGGAGGCTATTATGATAAAGGGAATGTTGTTACTCAACTGAAAGCTGACTAAAAATCCTCTCTTTGACTCACTGCATTCATTTGCCAAAAGTTGTAATGCAACTAGGACAATAGCACTGAGACATCTAGAGTAAATGTAGGGAGAAATTCTGTAGGTATCAGATAACAACAAAACATGACCCTTTATAAAGTGTGGTAGTGCAGTAAATAATTCCAATACTTGGTACTCAGAAGCAGGAGGATTATGAGTTTGGGATCTGCATAGGCAGTGTAGTGAGTCTTGCTCTCAAAATTAATTAAAAAGTCATGGGATGTAGCTTAGCATGACTCGCATACAGTCAGACCTTGAGTGAAAGCCCAATAGTAACACACACACGGCAGCTATTATCATAGTACTCAGGATTTTTTCCCTTCATGGAAAGTTATACATATTTTACATATTTAGTTGAGGTTTAATGTAATATATCCAGTGTTTCTTTTGTTTCTGGCATGTAGAAGAGATTCCAAAATATTTGTTAAAGGAAAGAAGTGTTGGATATTTATGGATTTTTCTCAGTGTTAAATATGTTTAGCATAAAAGGCCATAGAACAATAATTTTAGGGCTTACTTTAATAAGAATTTTTAAATTAAAAATTTCAGAAAATATTTTTCAATAATTTCTGTATAATCTGGAATTTGCTTAACATTAGATTACATTATTAATTAAAATTCATGGTATAGTACTGTTTGGTTCTAAATATTTAGGATTTATCTTGGTCATTAGAAGCAAATTAATGAAATTCATTTTAGTTTGAAAAAATTATTAGAAATTTTACGATAAACTGCAAAATTGCAGTAGCACCTGACTTTCTTTCATTATTTTAACTTGCATTTAGTTGAATGTCTTTTAAAGCTAGTGAATTTTTGTACAATTCTTGGGGAAAAAATCCCCAACATGAAACTACTTATATTCTTATTTTTTCATTTTTACAGGACATTTAATTTTTGATATGTATCATGAATATATATTTATCAAATAATTGTTATATTTTAATAAATGTATAACTGGCAACAAATCTGATGCTATTATTTAAACTTTCTTGCCATTCCTGTTGAAAGCTTTTCTCATTGAACTTTTATTTTGAGATTTAGAGTGTTTATTCAGATTATCTGCTACTTAATAATAATCTTAGTTATTAAATGTTAAATCAATTTATTCATTTTTTAACTTTTGTTATTAAATGTTAAATCAATTTATTCATTTTTATCAATTGTTTTAAATGCCTACAGTTTTTTTTTTCTAGTACCGGGAATCGAACTCACGACCTCACCCTTGCCAGGCAGGCACTGTGCCACTGAGCTAAATCCAGAGCCCCCATGCCTATAATTTTACAAAACCTTCATAAATAACATTGTATTTTCTTTTACCTAACAATATATTCAGTTTCATAGCATTAATTTTCATCAAGTTAACTGTTTTTGTTATAGCTTTAATATATTTATTCTGATAAGTGATATAATGATAGCTAGAAAGTTTAAGTATTAATATTAATAATTAAAGTGATATGTTCTAAATTCAATTGTGAATTAAAATTTTTACCTCATATTACTAAATGGGCATCTCAAATGTCAAATCACATCCTCTAAAATGTGATCCTTAGTTGATTATATTTAACTGATAAGTGAACTCTGATGCCAAGATTGTAATTTGAATTTTTTTTTTTAAAGTTAGAGAATCTCTTGATTTGAGAACAGAACATTTTCTAGAATAATGATACAATACATGGACAACAAAAAAGGAGATTTTAGGCTTTTATATCAAAACAATTCAAAGGATATTATTGAAATACAATATTAATGTTGATCTAAGTTGATTCTTCCTTTAAAATTTAACATGTCATTGAAACATGCTTTGTAATAGTATAACACTGTATAACAGTAGATTGTATTTTAACTATTTAGAAGCTGTCTGTGCAAAACAAATTATTTACAACTTTATTCTCAACAGTTGAATTTTGAATGCCTCATATTTTTATCATCTTACATAGCTTTCAGAGAATATGGACCTTTTTAATAGTCTTTTTTTTTGGTTTTTCTCCGGTACCGGGAACCGAACTCACGACCTTGCGCTTGCCAGGCAGGCGCTTTTGCCTCTGAGCTAAATCCCCAGCCCGGACCTTTTTAATACTCTATAGTACCATGGATTTGATTAGGCTGGTATTCTCCTATGAATGTTATCATTAAGTAAACAATACCACAGAAAATAAATATGTAGTTGAGAACAGCGATATGTAATGTAACAGCCACTGTTGATTCACATTAATTTGTCTTAAGACTCTGTGTCACTTTGAATGTTCTTGCTTTGATTTGTTTATGTTTGTGATACTGGTATGCAGCTACTGTTATATTTCTTTGTTTCTCATTTACTACTCTCTTTAAAATAAAAGAATAAGTATCTTATGCAGAATCAGCCAATGAATAAATGGAGAGACCTGGACTAAATTTTAACTCTTTGTATTGTGAAATCTTTCATCTTTAGATAGATTTATTCAATGAATTTCTTTGACAACTGGTTATATATGCATATATACATATATATATCTGTGCAAAAAATGAAATACATATATAATTGTTTTTCTGAAACTATATCACAACATTTTCTTCTATGTAATATGTTGTGATGTAAAGGGATTTCAAATAAGTTTGAATGCCTTCACTTCTCACAAATCATCAAAGAAGACATTGTCTACATTAGGGAGATGAAATTACCTGACTAAATTTATTTGTAGATAAAATGTCAAGATTCAAATACAGAATACAGGATTAGTTTTTAGAGAAAAAGCTAATGATTTTTAAAAATATTTATTTTTATGAGTTACAATTCTGTCAACCATAAGTAAATACAAGAGCTATACATCAAGAATCGGAGAACGTGTGATGTTTTCCAACCATTAAAAATAAAGTCCCCTTATTACAGAACACACCAAAGTAAGTGGACCATTTTCAGCCCATGAGCCATAATTTGCCAACCTCTAATTCCTGAAGATCAAATTGGCTACTTGCTTCTGTACATTTGATTATATTTCATAATGCTAGAATCGGAGAACGTGTGATGTTTTATAACATTTATTGTTTTCTGCATTTCTTTTTATCTGAAATGACAAGCTTGGAACTTGAAGGCACATATTTATGCATATGTTTTCTTCCATCAGATCAGTGAAAGAATAAACACATAAATAGAATATGGCAATGAAAAATTCCCCTTTAATAGCTTTTATTTTTGTATCATTTCAACTTATAAATGTACATTAATAGAGAATGGAAATTGTTAAAAATGGTTCATCTTTTCTTCATGGATACACTTATTTAATAAATATGGTCCAAATTCTTATAGTAATATGAGCCAAAGGTAGGTACATTTATCTAAGGGATCTGCTTTCTTCAAACATTTCTGCTCTTAAATTTTCAAACAAGTAGAATTTTTCAAAAAATTGTGTAAGTGAGAATATCCGTGAAGCTTCTTAGTTAAAGCCTGTTTACTGGGTACTTCTTGTTTGACAATTCAAGATATTATATGATGCTTATTTGTGTTTTCTGTGCTTAGCTAGAGAGACTGCAAGCTGAAAATACCTCAGGGTGGAACAACACAAAATTACTTGCAACAGAAAAGCAAGGACTGGAGAGAGAAAATAGAAGACTAAAAGTCCAGTTGAAAGAAATGGAAGAGCTCCTGGATAGGAAAAACAGATTAAGTGCAAATTTTAAAGATCCTGACTTGAAGACATCACAGATTGAACTGCAAGAAAAGAACAAGGTCTGGTGTTCTTGGAAGCGCCTGTTCTCTTACTGTGTGTTTTCTTCTGAGGCCTAGGTGGATGCTGCTTTCACCTTTGTCCACCTCCAAATCTGAATATTGCTTTTTTGGGCTAACGTCTGATGGCTAGCTCTTTTCTCTGTTGTCATAAAAATAACATTGCTCATGTATCTGAAACAGAGTGTAGCAAATTTTGGATGAAAATGTGAGAGTATGATAAAGGAAGAAAAGACAAATCTTGTTTTGTTTTGTTTTCCATTATAGCTTTGTGTTAGCAGTTTTCAAACTATTATCTTATTTCCAGTAAATGTGCTTATCTAGTAATTTGAGCACCTACACAGCAGCATTTATTGGTACCTATGATAAGTATTTACATAAACACTTAAATTTACCTGAGGTTTACTGTTCTCTGATTCCCTTTTTGTCTGAGAATCATTATTTTGAGTGAATTGTGTCTTATTTTTTTGCAAAGAGATGTTATAATTATAGCAAAACTAAGACAACCAAGATTAATAAAATTAACTTGGGCAAATTTAAATTGTTTGCATATTTTCCCTTTAAGCCAATAGAGATGGGGCTGTAGATGGGAACATTTTTCTTTCTTAAATAAATAATTTACAGATTTTAAAATGTACTTTCAGTGACAGATAATGTTATAATTTGTATAGTTTACTATAAATAGGCTATAATATATATACACTTTGTTTCCAAATTCTTCCATTAAAGTATCTACCATATTTGAATGTATAATTCTATTTTTTCAATTTATTTTAACAACTTTAAAAGTGACTGATAATTTCATAGTTGTGAATTGTGTACATTGTTCATACTAATACAAGCTCTAACAGCCAAATGGCCAAAAAATTAATTCAATATCACTTTTCCTAACTCTTTTATGAATTTCAGGGTGTATCACAAATGCAGGATGAAAATGCATTAGTGCATCATGACTTGACAATAGAAATGTCTAAAGTTAAATGTCAAAGTCAGTGATCCCAGTTCTGTATTGTATAGATTCATCATCGGTTCTAATGCTGTATTTCGTTCTGAAATATATGCAACTCACAAATCTGCAGAGAAAATTTTTCTTCATTTCTAAATAGAATTATCTCAACTGTGGAATGTAGTTTGATTATGAAAATATACTTTTCTCCTTGATTCATTCAGAACAAGCGTGTATTTATGTCATTTTTCTGTCAGCAACTAGTCTCCATGCTAATAGTGGGAAGATGAATGGCTCATCAACCCTGCGGGACCTGGGCTTGCAGTCTACACAGACAGTTGCACATGCAGATTACAACCAATAGCACACTGAGATGATTCTTAAGAGTGACGTAGAATGTGAACACAGATGAAGAGGTAGTTCATTCTTCTTAATTTTTCGACCTTTCTAGTTATATCAAAATGTCAGGAAGTAAGGCATATCAGTCAGGGAATATAATGGCTGTTTGGAGCTGCCATAGGTGACATTGGCATCCTGTCATTAAGGTAGATGCAGGTGAAACCTGCTCTCCTTGGGACTGCTGTGGTTATTTGTTCTATAATGAGGCGTAACTTGGAAACTGTAGGATTCTGGAAAGTCTAGCCAATCGGTCAGGCTGTTCAGCAGTCAGAAGATTGGAAGATTCTCTAAATGTTTATCAGTTTAATGCTGACTGGGAATATTTGTTATTTTTATCCACTTCACTAAGAATACAGATTCCTGAAACCAACCTAATGACTTACTATGTAGCTGATACAGGTCAAAACCCTAATACCACAAAATCTCAGAATGTCAAGATTCAGATGCTCCCAGATGCCAAACAAATCACCATGTGCAAAAAATGTAAAAATCCAGGGAATAAGATAGATTTTATCATAATTGGAATCTCAAAACATGATTGGAGTTTTAACATCATACATATATATGATATTGTGCATATATATACACTATAAATATATATATACACACTATAAATATATATACTTATATGCCTTATATGAGTATCAATTCTCTCTTGTGTTTTCTGTCTCTATATCTTTCTCTGTATATATTTGTGTAAGTATGTGTGTACTATATATGAGAAGCACATATAGAAATAGGTATATACATACCATATATGTGTACTGTGTCTATATACGCCTACATATGCATATAAATATTCTACCTGAGTGACTTTGGGCACAGCATAGACACTACTGTAACCATCACTCACTAATTCCTATTTAAAGGGAAATATGATCTCTTACCATATAATATTTATATCTAGTCACATTTACCAAAAATTTGTAGCAGACACAAAACTATTTGCTACTTAAGGCATTTTAATAATGTCTTAGATTTAATAACACTGTTCAATATATTTTTATAAATCCTCACTAATACAGTGAGGATCTTTTACTTTATTTGTTTAACTTCCATGCTACAGAGAATGTATTCTTAAAAAATGAACGTCAATTTTAAATTGCAGTTATTCAAAAGCAAAGATTACTTTTACATGAGTGATCCTATCAATTTAATCTCCATCCAGTACTTACATTTATATATTCAGGCATATGTATACATTAATCTTTTGTAACTTAAGAAAAACAGCAATACATCTGATCTTTTTGTGGTATGTTAGAAAATTATCACTTGAGTAGTAACTATTTGAAAGCATAAATCACTATCATAGGCTTTTCTAGAATAATCTCTGCATGTAGACCTTATAATTTCTTGTAGCTTCTGGAAATAGTGACCCTGTTGCATGGTTCTATGGCATTAGTGTTTTTCACAAAAAAATGGCATCAGACAAGAGAACTTCAGTGTTAGTACTTGTCAGAATATAGCCCTCATTTTACTTATTTATTTATTTATTTATTTTTCCTGTTCCCAGACTTGAGCTCAAGACCTCACGCTTGCCAGGCAGGTGCTGTGCCCCTGAGGTAAATCCCTAGCCCCCTAGCCCTCATTTTAAATGATGGCAAAGACATTTCAAAATTAGCTTTATAAAAACATAATTAAATCACAGTATATATTTTCATGCAATTATAAATATGTACTTAAAGCTCTTACTGTACAGCGATTAGTAAATTATGTCCTTGGTATATAATTATTAGGATGTATACTTTACCCAACTTTTTAGAAATCAGTCTGTATTTAGGAACATACATGAATAGAACTTTTAGAATAAAAATGATACAGAGTTTCAAAACAAGATGACAGGAAATTAACAATAGTTATTATATTCCATATTGTTTTCTTCAAAGTAGTTGTTCAGATTACCAGACAGGTATGCAAAATTGATCAAACAATATGACTAACTGTTCCTTTCAATGAACTAATAAAAATTAGTAGTACAATTATCTTAGCTATCTTGTGTGTGTGTATACATATACAGTTTTGTTGCTTTTGTTGTTTGGTTTTTCTCCGGTACCGGGAGCCGAACTCACGACCTTGCGCTTGCCAGGCAGGCGCTTTTGCCGCTGAGCTAAATCCCCAGCCCTATACATATATAGTTATACATATATAACATATAAATAATATATACAATATATAATGTTATAGTTTATAAAATATATTAGCACAATAACCTATCTATATAACACAATTAAAGGTAAACTTTTAGCACCGTACAAACAAAATGAGCACTTGTCAACTATTTCATTTTGCACACTGCTCAATAAAGGAACCAGCAAGATACATATTCTAGCCAGATCACAGGATAATGTATATATAATATTTATGGGGACTGAAGAAGACTGAAATGAAAATGCTTAGTAGATGGAAAACTGGGTTTCCATAGTGGACAAGGAAATAAGTTCCTCTGTCACAAGACATGTGTATGGGAGGGAGTAATTTATATTGCTATAGACTATGTATATAGTATATGGAAAACAGGTTAAAGATATTAAAAATTGTAGGATGGTATGGAATCTTCCTTGGAAGAATAAATTAGACAAAATGACCTAAAATATTTATTGTCACAATTTTACCTAACAGTATAAGTTACTTGATAGATCTGCTTAATAAACTTTTACATAAAAACATATTTACAAATCCTTGGTATGTAATACTCATGGATAGGACCTGGCAGACATTTCCTGTAAACATCAAGACTACATATAAGACATTTAGTTTGTATTAGACCTTGTTGCATTTTTTTCCAATTATAAGTTTTAAAAAATACAGAAAATCTTCATTCATGAGGTCGAGAGCTGAGACACAGCTGGGAAACCCTGATCTAGACCAGTGGCCCGTAATCTTCAATGTGTAGAAGGAGCCAAGAAGGAAAGTGTGTGACCAGGCTGGGAGCAAAATGATGCAGGACAACAGCAACTCTACCCAGTACCCTTCGTCTCACAGACCAGGCCTTTAAAATATTCTTGAAATGAATGACTTTAAAATCAAAGGAATGGAGAGCTGTGTAGTGAAATGTAAGCAGGAAGTCATGTATGAATCCCAGCACTGGAAGATGAAAGGTGGAAAAGTTTTCAAAGATACACTTGAGAGGTGAAGCTGAACTTTAGAAATCAGTGTGTTACATACCTGCTAATAATAGTGCAGTGGTACAGACAGATGAGACTTTCAAGAAAAAGGTTCTTCCTGGGATTAAAGAAAAATCGTCATAAGCCACAGAGAGCAGAGAACCTTAGGTTGTTTGTCAGTTGGATTTTAGAGACTCTTTCTACTCTGACTTCTCCCTATTCTCCCTTTGTTCACTTTGAGATTTTAGGAGGACAGAAAGTAAGATACGAGGAAGAAAAAAAGGAGTAAAGAAATGAAGAGTCAGGTTTGTATCCATTATAGTGAAAGAAGACATAGTAACCTAAGAGGTAATAAGCACATGGAACCTAGTATCAAGATAAATCCAACAATTTTTATAAGTGTCTAAAATTATTGGTACATTTTAGATATAGATAATGATCACATTCATCAAATGGAATTTGTACCTGCACATGATATATCTTGATTCTCCTTTTTTTCCCATTGCCCTACCCCCTCTTTAATCCCTCTTCCCCTCAAAAGCATTGTTTCCATTTTTCCTTCTTTCCTCATTTTTTTCTTTTCCCTCTCTTCCTTTCCCTTGAGCCCCGTCCCTAGTTCTCCTTCTCACCTGAGCATTTTCTTCCGACCTCATAATGTTGGGTACACAGTTTGATTCTTATTTACACTTTTGGTTTCTGTATCAGTCAGGGTTCACTAGAGAAACATGTAACACAAGATATACAAATGTATAAGAAATTATAAGTTTGGTTTACAATGGTCAGCCAGAGAGTTGGCTGAGGAAGGGTGCAGAGGGTGTCTGCACGGTGGAGACTGAAAAGCCCAGGCCCAGGCCTGGAGCTCACTGCAGTGTCCATGAAAGTCCCTATCAGGAGGCTGATGGGTCTGCAACGGAATGCTGAAGAATCTATGACAAAGACAGGAGAGTCTACACCAGAAGGCTGAAGAGTCCCAGGTGGAGCCCAGTCTCCACCAGAAGACGGGAGATGACCAAGCTGAAGGCTAAGACTGGAGCTCCTCTGAAGAACCAGCAATCAGTCCTTCCTCTTTTTCCTTTTGTTGTATGCAGTCTACCTGCCCTTGTGTGAGGGGGAGCTAGTTCTTTACACCCACAACGTCTCTGTACTCTCCTCTTGCACTGGCTCAGGATGAATGCAAAGTAAGGATCCTGGCTCCCTGCTGGGTCACTTAGTTAACCTTCTAAACTTCTCAAATTGACACAATGAACAACATCCTAGAGCAGGAAGGACGTGTCCTTTTTACCCCAGAAAGTAGAAC